AGATGGACATTGACGTCCCCAAGAACGGCGGTCTGCGCTTTGAGATGGCGAAGTGGTTGGAGGTACGAGAGAAGATGAACGGAGCAGCGTGGTACGCGGCATGGCACCAAAAGCTGACGATAGTGGGTGCGTCGGACGCATCGTCGACCGGATGGGGCGGTTTGATTCGATGTCCAGGCGAAGTAGTATTTCGCGTAGCGGGTGATTCCCAGACGATTGGACACCGCAGCACATTAACGAGCAAGACGCGTACGCGATTCAACAGCTCCTGGCCTTGTACTGTCAGCAAAGACCAACGAAGGTGCAAGGTTCGACGTTGGTCCTGGATGAAGACAATCAAGCTCTTTTCTACGCGTTGAGGAACGGGAAGTCTCCAAACAGGCGTTTGCACGAGATTGTGGCAAAGTTGTTTTGGCTACAAGTGAAGGCGGATTTCACCCTCAACGTACAGTGGGTGTGTTCGAAGGCGAACGCAGAGGCGGACGATTTGTCTCGTCCAGGCGCAGATGCGTACGTTCGGTTGGAGGAAGAAAAACTCGCAGAATTGTGGCGGTGGGTTAGTAGACCTTTCGACATGGATTTGATGGCCACAGCGGCATCGGCACAAAATATACCAGGAAGCGACATCCAGCTACGATTTTACTCGAGGTTTTACAATGAGGGCTGCGCAGGCAGTGATGTGTTGAGTCAGGATTTGAGGTGTTTGCCGGGTTCCGAGAGGGCTTGCTTTGGTCTTTGTTTTCCACCAACGGCAATGGTAGGAGTGGTGTTACAACGCAAGGCAGAGTGTGGAGCGCGAGCGGTTGTGATAGTGCCAGACCAACAACACACCTGGTATCCGATGTTGGCAGACGCCACAATACGGTCTTACACGATAGCCGAACAAGCAGAGGGATCCGTATTCTATCGAATGCACCATCAGCAGCGAGGGAAGGTGTCCTTTGCTTTTCAACGGTGGGCGATGCGAGCGGTGGAGGTGAACTTCGCCGATAAATAATTGCATGATTATTGTGTTACGTTAATGTGTGTATCAGGCGCTATGGGGGTTGTAAACAGCGGCGAGGCTCATCTTGACTATTCTGGAGAGGTGGTGGTCTGGTACAGGCCAACAACAACAAAACCGAGGATATCCATCAACCATGACCACTTGATCGAAGTGACACCAGCACGATCAAGAGTTATGAGCCCGCACTCAGAATGTTTAGGTGAAAACGATGAGCGATACAGGTATTGCCAATGGTGCGCGAAGGCGTGTACAGTTTCGGGTCAGAATTCTACAGTCGGTTCCACATTGACGAGGCCGCTCTAGCCAAGAGATACAGAGAATTCAAGGAGGCAACGGTAGACACCCCGGCGATGTGGAGCAGATGTGCGACAATGCTTACATACACGCAGTTCTTCAGTCGCGAAAAACAGGGCGTGTGGTGTCTATGACGGAACCTCAGCCAAGAGATATCGTTGACTATTGCTGGTTAGATGCCTGCGGCAAGAGGAAGCGTACGGTAGTGTACGCAAGGGAATGTCAAGCGGTCGGCACCTCAACCTTAGACGCCTGTTCAACCGAGCAGGGAGCCTGTACCAAGAGGTATGCCCACAGTTCTCTGAGAACGAACCTCGTGTCAAAATTGGCGGTGGCATTCGAGAAGGAGTTGGGGGGCACGCACGATTGGGACAGCCAACGACGAACAGGAAACCCAGTGAGAACCGAGCTGGTAACACAGTACATGCGATTTACAACGAAGCAGCGAAAGCAAGCAGGGGTACTCGTTAAACAAGCGCCAGCGATCTTGCGCAGCTATTTGCATCAGATACTGGTTCCTTTAAGGGCCGAGCTCGATTTTACAACATCGGCGGAGAAGAGGGTAACCTTGGCCCGAGATATAGCTTCCTTCACAGCAGCGTTTAGTACGACGAAGAGGGCAGACGAGTTGGTAAACACGCTCATACAACGTATACTGCGGTTACCCAGCAAGAGCGGAATGATTTTCAATTTCCGATGGGGGAAGACGCAGCGAGATGGGGCGGATCAAGTGTTATCAGTGGAATACGATTCGGAGTGTCTGCCTTTGTGCCCTGTTAGTGCGGTAGAGCGCTACATAGACATAGGAAGAAGTGTGGGTTGGGACATGAGTACCGGCTATTTGTTCTCGGGCATTTCGGCGAGTAAGACGGGAAAGAAGCCGAAAAGGGAGCCAAGGCCAGTGACGGCTGCATACATGACAGCAATGTTGAAAAATTACGCGAAAGGCGTCGGTTTGGAGCAGGAGTTTTCGATGCATTCGTTTAGGGCAGGGGGGGACATTTCGAGGTCTCTTGCCGGAGAATCCCTTTTTACAATCATGCAGAGACCGTATTGGAAAAACCCGAAGACGGCGTGGAGGTACATGAGGCTCATGGAGGTGGTAGCTCCAGGAGCGGGAAGCGAAGACATGGTAGAAGGGATCACGGAGGACCTGTACCGGGAGTTGAACGAGTTTCCACTGAGTGAACAGAGTCGGTCATTGGCTGCGTTCGGGAACACGCCGTTACTCTTAAGAAAAGAAAAGACAATGAATAATTCTACGCATATTCTAGTATGGAATAAAACATAAAACATAAAAGGATGTGGAGTTAGTTTTGGAAAGGGTGACTTCACCAGCCGCGGGAGGTGAAGCCGCTGTCTTATCCCACACTATAGGGGAAGAATAAACGATCACAGAGATACGGCTGTATTATGCAGACCGGTCCGGAAAATGTTCCAAACATTTTCCAGGAACGTTGGCACACGAAAGCACACGTATCACTATCACAAGGGTACCTCTCATTCCCACTTCTTTGGGCAACCAAGTGCCGACACGGCAAACAGGAGGAAGAGAGAGAGTACGTTAAAAGCACCACCCACCCACCCTCACAAGTGGTAGTAGTACATTACAAGGTGACGTTCATTTTCCAATAATTCAGTCGCGATCGGAGAGTGTCGATGAGTGTTGCAGAGACACAGGAAAACACTCATCGACACTTCCTTTTCACGACGGGTGACTTCACCAACCTAGCGGGAGGTGAAGCCGCTGTCTTATCCCACACTATAGGGGAAGAATAAACGGTCACAGAGATACTGCTGTATATTGTTTTTAGAATGCGACACGAGAGCCTATGCAATAAATTGTGTATGGGTTTTACTATATTCACAACAAATACCATACAATAGACTTGCTGCAAGTGGTCTGTGCAGTCTACTGATCCTGGGCGTCAATCTTGATGCCGGGGGGGGTGGGTTAGCGTGTTCAATGGTATGCGAAAACTAACACTTCCTCACAGTGACAGAGGCAGCTCCGGTGGCGGCGGCGGCGTTGTCAATCTCAGAACAGCTGCAAGGCGTGAGCATGCACTTGAGAAAAACCAGGCCATTCCCGCTCGGAAGGTCCCCGCTATGGTCTGAGGTATTGGCGACAACACGCACAAACGACGGGCGTGGCGAGAAGATAGGGAGGGGGGGTACTCATAGTCGTGCATGCCGTAGTCGTTAGACCATTGACCTCGCATCCCTACAAAGCCGGGACGGAGCACGCCGGGTTCTCACCGGACCAGGCTCGGGAGAGGATAGGCAGCGGGTCACGAGATACCTCAAACATGACTTTACTTTACCTGTTGAAAGTGGTTGGGGGGCTTGCAGGAAACTCGCAGGTCAACATCTACAGTGGTCGTAAGACTGCTGTGCGTGCTAAAATGTGCGTGCTAAGTGTGTGATACAATATTATAGATGCTTGGAACAGCATGGAAGACCTGATTTTATACTTCAGAAACAAACTACGGAGCTCGTCATGGCAAGTCCATGGTCTCTCCCGCAAAACCCCGCCACATAGACACCACCTACATCGGCATTTACTCGACGGAGTGGGGGGATGGGTACACATCAGCGCATGTATATCATGTAACGAGCGGGCACAAGTGAGGCAAGGCGCACCCTACGGCCGGGAGCGGGTACACAACGCAGTGTGCAAATATTGCAGCAGACACCCAACGGCGCGGGTAAAAGGTGCATTTCGTAGCAGGCATATGCGCGACTGCGCGTGCAAACCGCCGGTACGCAGGGGTATGCGCACAGAAAGTAGCACGAAACAAAAGCTACCCCCGGCGCGGCCAACGGGTACACAGCGGCGTGCGTGTGGTAAGGGGCAAACATGGCGCGAAGGGGCGCGCAACACTTTCCGGCATGTATTCCAGTCCTACGGTGAATCAAGAAAGACATACCGGCACTGCGGCCGGGCAACTAACGACCGTATACAACAACAAACAAGCTGTGCGGGGGCGAGGATTTCGTTCCAACTGAGCCAAGAGGAGCGAGTGTAAGAGCACCGCAGCCGGGTGACTAACGAGCACGCAGCAGCTCTATGTGGGCGAGGAGCGAAGGACACAGCCAAGCCTTCGAATTGCATTCCAATGAGCCAAGGGGAATGAATGAAACAGCACCGCGGCCGGGTGAGTAGCGAGCAAACAGCAATGTGTGGGCGAGAAACCATCCCAGTTCCGCCAAATCCTGGTCATATCAACGATGTGCTGTTGGAACGGCCACCAACCACAGGCGCAACAGAGGCCAACAGAGGCCAACAGAGGACACCAGCTACAGGCGCAACAGAGGGATGCAAGGTGACATAACTCATGGAGAATACAACAGCGTGAAGCAGCACTACCCAACGGCGTGGGGAACAACGGGCACACAACAGCGTGTGCGCAGAAAAAGTTCAAGAGTTGCCCGACTGCGCGCGGCGTAGGCAACAATACCGTAGATGACCCAACGGTACGGGGGAACAAGCACACAACGGCGTGTGTGCGGTAAAATTTGTAAAAACTCTCGTTCCGCAATACGCTCGAAGTGATTCGGAGGGATCCCGGGCTGCGATATGCGCGAAATGAAGCAGATCGATGGGTGCGGACACTGAAAGTGGACGCCCATCTGCTGCCAGCAGACACGAATTGTCATCGCACGACCGAAGAAGTGGCGCTGCGTAACGCCCGCACAGCTAGTACAATAGCCGACGTGTCGTCACCACCGCACGCACGCTCGTCCCGCACCGCGTGAAAACGCCCGCAGTCAGAGAACCATGACCGCTGCGGAACCAGAACACGAATCTAACGAAGGACAAAGAAACCACAGCAGGAGCATCATGAGAGGAAAACAACAAATAAAGCCACCAAACGCGCACCTCCGACGGGTGAACCACACCAGCAACTCCCTGGGCGTTGGCGGGGCGCCCACAGCACCAGGTGCGAAGGATGTCAAGCTTTGCCCGTGTGTTGCGGGAGTCACGAACACCGCCGTAGCCCGGTAGGGGTTCGGCTGCGGCGGGCTCACGGGCGAAGCCGGCGCCGGTGCCGCAGCCGGGGCCGCAGCCGAGTCTGCTGCCGCAGAGGCGGCCGAGTACCGTGCACAAGGCATACTCTGAAGAAATCTCCACCCACCTCTGTTCGCGAGGTTTTCCGGAGCGAAGGAAGTTGTTGTCTCCCTCTGTCAGTTAATCCCAGCTATTCGATAATAGACCCTTTCGGAAATTTTGTTGCGGGTCAGACAAAATGCTCAGGCAAGAAGAGGGTCAGATTTTTTTGAATCTGTAGCCGGCAACGGTTATATTTGTCTGAGGCTGCCCCACTTTTCACCCACGGCTCAGACAAATACCTCTAACCAACCCCATTTTATCTGAGGCGTGGGTTCCTGTTCAGAAGGCCCAGATATTTGAGCAGCAACAAGAGTACAGTAGTACTGTAGCGTAAACCACAAAAGATGGCATCGCAGGGTACAGACTCATCCAAGCATCATGTCACCACCACTGGACAGACAGACCTGCTCCTCCTCCGATGCGGGCGGTGTGCGTCTAATGTGTAGGTAGGTGATCGCTGTGGAAGGAACAGAGGGGAGGGTGGGATGAGACAGGCTTCACCAGCAGCCTCAGAAAGAGCAACCTCCCTGCCTACAACCAGTTCAGGAGAACACCCAGACCATGAGCTGTAGGCCACTCGAACTGCTGGGAGGTGGCCCAAAAATTGCCTTGTGCTACTCTCTATCGGCGCCATCTCCTCTACACAGGTGTTGCGGTTTGGAATGCTGCTTAAAAATTCGCTGTGTAGGGGTGGTTGTTCTAGGTTTAAGCTGTGCTGTTGCTGCTGCTGACCGCCGCCTCTCTCTTTCGGTTGATTGAAACAGGACCCCACCTGAGCGGCTGAGATTTTGCTTGCTAGAAGCCTTGACAGGGTGTTTCTCGGCGGTAACAACACCCCCGCTAGATGCTCCTGGTACCTTGGAGGATAGATAGCAGCACCCAACCAAGCACACCTATTTTCTTGCTTGGGAGAACAAGGGGCGTGGGGAACGGCGCGCGCGAATCTTTCGGCCAATTAGCGGCGGGCCTTGCCACGTCATGCCGAAAAAAACTCTGAGACTCTTTTCGGATCTTTTTATGCTAATTCTTATCTGGGCAATTTTGTCTGGGCATTGTGTCTGGGCAAACCCAAACGTATTTCCGAAACACCCCAACATCTGCGGTGCTGCCATGATTTGTTCCAAATCTCGGTCCGTTCGATCGGGACGGGATTTTACACCGACACTAACCACTGCACCAAATGTACAGTAGAGATCCCTGTTTAGCGCCGGTTGAATAGTGCAGGTACTGATATAGTCCCTGTAATTTTTCTGGGTAAATGCCGGGACTAAAACAGGGACCTCTACCGTACTAAAGAGAGTGGCAGCAGCGAGAAAGAGCGTGGGGCGCTACCAGGGGGGTTCGTCTCCCAACCGCCCTGCCACCAGATACGCACATCAACGTAGCCCTCACTATCTCCGCAGATCAGTATTTAGTACGGAGTATCCCCAAACATGGGGTAGCTACCCAATATGTGCTGCTTGTGAGCTGCCGGTGTTTTCGAGGACCGTGGTCGCTGTGTGTGTGTGTATGGGTCAACAGCAGCAGCAACAAAAACGATCACCACCACAATTCAAACTAAAACGTGGGCGAAATTCGACAACAGCAACAACAACGCTGAAAAACAAATAAGCATGGCGGCGAAATTTGGCGTCACCTAGTGGACCGCCTTAGCAAGCTACTTTGAGCACGGGGAAGTTGAAACAGGGCAAGGGTATGCAGACCCCTTAACCCAACTTTCCCAGTTGTATGCTTTATCCAACATGCAGTGGGACCCTCAATAGTGGGGATTGCCGATATAATGCGGGTGCAATTGGCTCGCACAGATGGACTATTCAAGACGTTTAATACATTGAATTTTGCGGATGCCAGCGATAGTGCAGATGAAGCGCGATAGATAGTGCGGGTGAAAGCGCTTGGCACATGCACTGTAGACGGCACTCCACTGTGTTTGCTTCAACGAACAACCCTGCGAAGGGTACTGAAACACCTTCGCGAGAAATTTAGAGCATGGGGAAATAAAACAGGGAGAGGGTAAGCAGACCCTAAAACCCCAACCCCAACTTATCCCAATTGCATGCTTCGCCCAACATGTTTAGTAAACCGAACAACCCCGAGAAGGCTACTACTGCGGATCACCTTGTGGAGGAAACACCGCCGTAGAGCCCTGCTGGCCTCCCTCCGCAGGTCTTTCTTGATCAATCCCGCCGCCTGCCAAAGCATGAAGGGCTGTGTTCATCAGCTACTTGTGCCTCTGCTTGATGCCCGGTACCAGGTACAGTAGTGCCGGTGAACATCTGGGGGGTAAATACCCGCACTGAGGGACCCCGCTACAGTGTGGCCAGATAGAGCACTAACATGTAACTCAAAACAGCGACACATAAAACGAAGCGGAATTACAACAGGTTTGTATAGCACAAGATGCTGCCATGGCAGTTACACACACAGGAAGAGGAATGTTGCTGTTGTTCTTGTTGTTGTGTTGTTGGTGTCTTCACACTGAAAACCGTTCCGTTCTCTCTGCCCAGTACCTTCTGTCCGTACTAGTCTAACACTTGACGGGGTCGATTCCCGTGGTCACAGGCTAACTTACCCAAAAAAGGTATAGCCGGCAAAAAACGCAAAAGAGAGGGAGAGAGAGAGAGAGAGAGAGAGAACTCATCAAGGATGCCGAACAACAAAATCATACAGCGCAACCCACCAACTGTTGGCATTGTTGTTTGTGTTTGTGTTTTTTGTTTTGTGTTGTCGTTGATCTTTGTGTTGGCGCCAACCCAAGCATATTGTCGTTGATGTTTGTGTTGCGCCAACACAAGCATCAAACACAACAACAACAACAACAACAACAACAACAACAACGACAACAACGACAACAACAACAACAACAACAACAACAACAACAACAACAACAACAACAACAACAACAACAACAACAACAACAACAACAACAACAACAACAACAACAACAACAACAACAAACAATAAACCCAGCGTCCAGCAGGTTTCCCTCCACCACTGGAAAGACGTGAGCACATCCCTTTCGACTGTGGTTACCGAAAGAATCGGAGAGATGGCACCCCCGTGTTGGCGTTTTTCAATAGCATATTTCTCCACAACCAGGGTGGTACCACTGCCGAAGAGGGTAGTTTGGGGGAGCTCTCGAGGGCTTTCCTGAGAGTTGTTGGTTGGTGTTCGCATCCGCCTAGTTGTGGTGAAATACGCGAAAAATAATCGTTAACACGGGGGTGCCATATCTGCGACTCTTACGGTGCATTTCAAACGGGTAAATGACCTTTCTGTGATTTATTGTATATTTTCAATAACACAATAAACACACACAAGTAAGTGTTCATGCATATTTTCGCAAAAAAAGGAACACAAGATTTTGTCGAGAACGTATAAAAAGAAAATAGAGAAACACAAACCTGTTGGGTCGAGCCTTGCAGGAACCCCGGATAGGCTCGCCTGGAGCGTGTTAGCCGGCATGCTCTTGGAGTCTTGTGCCATCTTGTATGTCACGGTAATCGTTTGGGCGGGGCAGTTTGACAAGGAGGACCTGAGAAAAATGAAAAAAGGACCAAATGAATCTGATTGGCCTACAGGCGGAAGGCTGGCTGTGGTTGAACGCCTGCACAACGGAAAGGGAGGGCGCCAATCTGATTGCCCGACGGGCGAAAGGGCGTGGTTGGCGAAAGGTCTTGGTTGGTGGTCTAAAAAACGAAAAGGAAGGGCTAATGTTTGCTTCGACCTGATTATTTTTTTTTTTTTATCTTCGCTTCAAATCAGCGCTCACAGCACTAGTGCCGTTTACTCCAACCCGTGGTCACACACAAAAGCCCCCTCTCTACCCTCCCCTCCTGCGGTACTTTGCCGTCGATTTTGAATGCGAGAAGAGTTCAGCACTCTCTTCCCTCTGTGTACACACGAACTGGCGCTATCCAGGAGCGGAAGCGAGAGAAAAACTCACTTTGCAAGAAAAGCTCGCTTACGCCGGGATTCGAACCCCTGACCTGACCTCTGTAAGGTTCCGCGGATACCAACCAGACCACCGGGGCGACCGGTCTGATTGGCTGATGGCCAGAAGGCTGTGGTTGGTCATCTGAAAAACGAAAAGCACCGGCCCACGGTTGCTTTGATCTGATTGGCTGACGGGAGGAAGGTTGTGGTTGGTCATCTGTAAAACGAAAAGAAAGGGCCCACGTTTGCTGTAATTCGATGGGCTGACGGGCGGAAAGCTATGGTTGAACACGTGCAAAAGGAAGGACCAATGACACTTGCTTCAATCTGATTGGTTAACGGGTGGAAGGCGATAGGTCGGTCACCTGCTCGTTGCTGATTGGCTGATGACCGGGAGGCTGTGATTGGTCATTGGCAAAAAGGAGGACCTGCATAAAATGAAAAGGACGAAGGACGAAGCTTGCATAACTATGATTGGCTGACGGAAGGAAAATTTTGGTTGGCTATACAGGTCATGCCATTGTACGGGTCCACGGAGCCCCCCACCGTATGTGCATACGTCCAGGGCCAGGGGCGGAAAGCAGAGTTAGCTCGCCGGGCGGTTGAAGTTCAGGAAGGCGGCAACGATCACCTGGACACAACAAAGACAGAAAAAAAAGAAAACACAACACGTTGAAAAGATTTCGAACATGTGCCTTCTAGCGCTGCCAATTTCATCGCAACATGAACGAAAAATACAGACAATAGAGCCTTGGACATGAGCACGAAAAAAAAAAACACACACACACACTTGTAACTGACCGAACCCTGAGAAAAAAACACCACCGAAAAGCGAAATCTTAAAACAACACCACTGACGGTAGTCGCAGTGGTCAAGACAACTTAACAAGCAAGGTAGGAGGACACCATAGCATCGACCGCGATAATCACCTGACCAACGAAAGTAGGTGCTTCGACTACTGCCATTGCGTATGTGTTTCAACCTCAACTAATAAGTCTTCGTTAGAAACACTGTATGTTTGACAGAAATACACACTCGAGGCATTTTGTCGGAGATGATAGTCAT